AAAGAATCCAATCTGGAGAAAATCTCGGGTCTTGACGGAGTAAAGATTCTTGATGAAGCTGCTGGAGCTGAACACTCCGCCATAGTCACTGGCAAGATCTATATTCTTTACTTCTTCTGAGTATTGTATTTGCAGAAAACATAATGACTTGTTTCTTGTGATTAATTTTCAGAGAATAGAGAAATAAAGACGTGGGGTTGGGGCGAGCATGGGCAGCTTGGCTTGGGTGATGCCTGTGACCAAACAAGTCCACTCACAGTAAGTCTTGGCTGTGAATTGAATGAGGCAGAATCAATCAGAGTTTTCTGTGGGAGTGGCTTCACATTTGCTGTAACCATGCCCTCTAACCCTTCTCCAGATTGATATGCAGATTAAAAGAAATTTTGATCCATTACCTTGATTTTTTAGTTCTAAACCGCCAATGGCAGTTCCAAGATATATCCATTTCGGTGCAGCTGATATTTTAGAATCAGGCTCGATTGCGCCAAAAACATTTTGTTCAAGTGCACTGAAGATTTGAACCTCATTTGTTTCTTTTCTCCAAGCAAGAATTGATCTGTACAACAGTACAAGAGATCGTGAAAGAGAAATCTCTTTATTTTATGTATATGAAGCTTCCTCTGTATCTTCAACTCTTACGTATAATGGATTCATCCTGAGGAAAGTTTTGGAATGTATCCTTGCCATGAAGAATAGGGGTTTAATGCTTGTTTAGAGATATTTGGAGACCAAGGGTTCTATACCTAGTAAATTATGATTGAAAAACTATTTTTAAAAATTCTAATCATCATTCCAGATTGTTTAGCACAAATAGTTTTGGCGTCTACTATTTTCTTCTTTTCTATGACATGGGACAGAAAATCCAAAAATTTGTTACTATGTCTTGCGAGAAGGAAACAAATAAATATATAAATATGTCTTGCCAAAGTTACCGTTCATTTATTCTTTTTCTTACTCTAGTTTATTTTGTCTGACATTCCATTCATTTTTGTAGCCTTATATATCTAACATCTATTACATATTCAACTTTTATTACCTTTTACATCTATGTACGGCATAGATTTAAAATCTTGTCCATGATGAAATAACAGTTGCTCAAATGAGATAGCTGATTTTTTTTATCATTTAATATAATTAAACGCACACATATACACGCACAAACATATCAACACGCTCCATTTGAACATGGAGTTCAGCTTGTTATACTAAACTTTCCCCACAGAAAACGTTCTCAATTGCATACCACCTAAAACAGCAAAACTAAGGCACTAAACTTTCTCCAAGAAAGCACAAATGCGCAAATGCCTTTAACTCCAAATTATTGAAGGAGTTCAGCTTATTAGTCAAAAATTGGCTTCTCGAAGCGTTACACTCAACTTGAGTCGGCAACAAATAACCTCCAAGTTAAAAGAATCAATGAGCTGCTCGCTACTATTTACATGAGTCAATCAAATGAAAATCAATGGAAGACTAGCCTAGTGCATCTAATCAGTTGTCTATTAAAGAAATATAGCCTCATGCTCACTTAAAAGAATCATTATTCCTGAATGATAAGGAGATTATTCTCGTAGCCGTTATTATGAACAACAGGACGCAAGGGATCAATTTTCCATTCGCCATCAACAATGAACTTAATCTGCAACAGGGGGGAAAACGGTAAGATTCCCGCTAAGCACATCTTACCTGACACAATATCGTATGGCCCTAATAGATTCCGTCCATTTCAATTTATAAAACGTTTTTGGAGCAAATTGTGAAAACCAATAAACTTCAATAAACATAATTAAAAAAATTAATTTTTTAAAGAAAAGTATATTATACTTCCCAAAATGTCCTTACTTCAACAATAATTCCTACTTTATTTGATTAATGAAGGGCATTTTTGGAACAAAGTCATTAATGACGGATTGTCTTTTCCAAAACATCTTATATTATGACACATGAAACCTCTCCAAAAAAATTTCTTATCAACCGAAATGGAGGAAGAGTCGAAAATAAATTAGTACAACTAACCTCGTATTTTCCTGGATACAACTGTAGATACGCAGAAAAGACACCAGAATTTGACTTCTCCATCTTTCTCTACAATAGAATGTTCACTAATTTTATAAATATGCATTTTACTAGTATATATAACTGAAAGGTATCCAGAGAAAGAGCATTTCATATCCCGAAATTACTTCGCATGCCAGGTTAGCATCGTGTCATGCCTCAAGCCATACATCAACCTTGAGAAATAGGGCAGGCTGAGTTATTTAATGAACCAGAATACAAGGTCATTGCACTTTGAAATCATGTCCGACACAATATTGGGGCTGACATTTAAAAAGAGGAATAAAAATTTTGATACATAACAGACATGTAATCAGTGGAATTTAACCTAAGAGCACCATAGAAAACATATTGATAAAATATTATAAATAATCTAGACAAGGTAATCAAGGAGGTCCCGCACAAATCATGACCAATTTTTCTTTTCGTTTTGAAAAATGTCTGTACCACAAAACATGCCCCTATTCTTTAGTACATTTGTTGGTATGACACAATATAGTTCTGGAAAATGATAAAGTATGTAAACTAGAGTTTTATAAAACACTACTTCAAGCAGTTCTGTCAAGTGCAAATAAGCATGCTCATCTTGTTATGGGTCACATCAGAAGGAGTTTTGATGGATCTATTATTGGGCAATGCTGAAAGTTGAAATCTAACTGAAAATATTCACGGAAAGTGGTCATACCTTGGAGGACCAACCATCAAACGATCCTGCCAAAAGTACTTCTGAGGCAGCATTAGGCCAAACCACACAAGTGGTCTTAAGAAATCTTAAAGCTCTACAAGCATTATCAATCTTCTTCTGCTTCTCTTCAATTATCTTATCTGCATCCCTGGGAGGAAAGAATGCGGCGCTGTCAGTGTCAATATAGGGTAAAGGGAGATACATGAAATGAAATGAATAGAATCTATTGATACATTATTGCCAGTGTCATCTTTCCTTCTAACACAGCCAATTTAGCACGAATTGAGCGCAGTCTATCCTTAGCTCTCAAGATCTCATTTTCCTGGAATTCCCAGGCATCAGAAAGCTTATGTAGATCATCAGAAGAGCTTTCCGGGCCCTATTGAAGAATATACACAGGGAATGAGGATTAGTATAACATCCTAAGGAGAGCCATTTGTGTTATTCTCAACAGTAAATGAAAATAAATTTATAAAAGGACCAGAATCCTTTAGGCTCATTGAATTTAAAGGAGCCCATATCAACAAAAGGAAAAGAGATTAAAATTCTTTCATCATCAGAGTAAGATAGTCATGATTTTACATAAACTTGACTAAAAGCACAAATTGTTCTAGTTCAATAATAATCCTCATTTGGTAAATATACTATAACATAATGTATCATCGGATGACATTAATTAACAGATAATATCCTTAGATAATTGATTGGGTTTATGAAATTTTATCAGTCCAAAGGCAAGTTGCAACAAGCTTCCCTCGCCTCTATTCTCCAGATAAGAAAAATGGCAACAAAGCTTTACCTTCGTTCACTTTTCCATAAAAGTTTTTATTTTCCCATATCTCTAAAATAAATATTAGATCAAGGTGCATAAAAAAGGTGCCTTTACCAGAGCAAAACAAGTATAATTGTGCTATTTTACTTTTTCCGCCCAGTTTGGCTGGGTTCATTCAGAGTCAAGTGACCATTATTGGCTACTCACCGTCTGTATTCCAACTTCATCCACACCAGACCTCAATGACTGAAGTACAGAAGATAACTCTGACTCAAGCTGCTGGATGCGGCTTTTTATTTCCTTGTAATTTGCCTTCCCACCAGGAGGACTTGAGTCTGCCTCTCTATTTATAGGTGTAGCAGCTAGCTGTCTTGTTTCAAAGACATCATTTCCTGAAACATCGACCCCAGCTCCTAGACCAGTTCCACTAGGTGCAATTTCAGCATCTATTAGTATCATTACAAAGACATTAGTTGATCCTCTTGACTAAGGCAGGACACAGCCCATAAAATATTCACGTAGATTACCTTCAAAATTTTCAAATGAGGAACCATTTCTCTTAATAACCCAACTTCTCCACATATCTGGTTTAAGTGCGTTTCTTAAATCATGATTACCAGTTAGAGATCTGTGCTCACCAAGTTTGCTTGGGAAACCACCATGAGGACTGCCGTTTGAGCTTCTTCGGGCAGGTTTAGCGCTTTTGTCAAGGTCAGCTGCTACCTTTAGATATAGTAGAAAAGCAAAATATTTTAAAAATTATTTTGAAAGCGACAAGAAGTCATCTATTATAGGGCAAACAAAGGCGGTAAGGAAAACACCTGCAGTCAGCAAGAGCTTCATCTTTTCTGTATTATAACTCAACTGATAAGTTAACATACATCATAGATAACACATTAAAAGTATGTGCTCCGTATAATGGGATTACAAAACATTCAGTTATCCCAGAGCTCGTGAATCTACAGATAATTAGTATTGACATATGACATATTGATTCACATGATTCATAGAATCATAAAAGGCATCATAAGGGAGTAAAAGTACTTACTGAATTTATAGTAGATCTACGATGACTTTCGTCCTTATCCTCACTTTGTCCAGATGAAGAAACATTATCTTCTTTGGGTCTGAACCCAAGTCCTAAAATACCATTTCTCTCTTTCTCCAGTCGATTCAATATACCCTCAATACCAGACTGCTCAGCAATTTCTCTGCCAGACAGAAAACAAACCTTATACTAGCAGTTCAAGAGTCATATCTAATGCACGCATTAAATAATAGCAACTAGGCGAAGGAAAAGAATGGCATCGTAGAATCTTGTAACAAATCTTATAATAGCAACAAGGCTCTCTTGCTCCTCTTACGTCCAAGAAATTAAATGAATAACATCATAACCGGCTTTGGGGTCCTTAAACCACTCCCAATAGCTCGGGCGGCAAACATTTATGGTTATGCAACAGTACTGCTAATGAAAAATGTGCATCAAAACAGAAGTCTTACACTGATCTATCAGGCGATACAGCTGTTTGAGAATAGGTAACAGGACGAAAAACTCGGCCAGAACCCCAAATTTCGGCGCCTTCAATTTTATTGCTCTCCTGTTTAACATCACATTCATTCTTTATCAACAAATTCTCATGTTTGACATGAACTTCTCCGGATACTTCTTCGGCCTCTTCACCCAAATCCCACCCAAATGCAAGCCAACCTCCTTTCTTGATGATGGCATCGACTAAATCCATCCTCCCTGCATCAATCAACTGTTTCTTGGTTGGAAACGCCGTTGGGTTCTTGGAATTCTTCATGAACTCCAAAATCTCCGCCTCGAGAGAGAAATCTCCCTCGCAATCCCAGTCTTTGCACCTCCTCAAGAACCCAGAGTAACCCCAATACAAACCCTTATGGCAGTTCCCCTTCTTGAAAGAATCCGAACACCCCAGCAGCGACCCAGTCTCCTTCACAAGATTCAAAGTCGCGAACTGCATCGCCCTCCTCCGTCCCCTCGAATCAACGACAAAGAAAATGGAGGGAAAGTGCAGAGAGTTCAAACCAGCGAAGGATTTGTGGGGGAGAAGCAAGTAAGCAGAAGCAGTAAGGGAATGCATGGTTCAGGCATTTCGCCGAACAGTTTACCGGCAGAAGGCCAAGAATGAAGGTGACACAAAGCGGGAGAGAAGAAATGGGTAAAGAGAGGAAATGAATGCACCGAACAAAACCCACTGAAAAGCGCGGGACTACTCAGTCTTCGCTTTCAACACTGTCGCTGGATTCCTTAGCTCATTTCCTTTTATATTGTTTGCTGTCAGCGTGCTCCGTCAGACACTGGACGGGGAAAGCCAAGCCTGAAACCTGAATACCAAATAGCAGGGGAAGAAAAGTTTTAAAAAAATCATTGAATTTACTGTTTAGGGCCGTGTTTGGATAATGCAGACAGTTAATGTGTAGTTCCTCACCGCCCTTTCCTGATTTTGACTTCTTCCCGCGTAACGTGCTCGACTGCTCGTCCTGAGAAAACACGTGACTTCCCGAGCTTCCCTGTGGTGTGCCGATAAATATCAATCAATTATAATACAATTATATTTTTAAAAAAAATTATTAGTTTATTCTTTTTAACTTTTTTTTGACTATTTATAACTTACTACCTCGTATCCTAATTATAAAATTTCTTTTATAAACTGTAAATAAGATCTTATAATTATGATCAAATATAGTATTATTCATATACTTCAATTTTTATTATGAGAGTTAGTTGACCAATCTAAATAGATTAAAAAAATAATTAAATTAGTTATTTGTAATAAATATATATTGTGTTTTTTAAAATATTTTTATTAATTAAGTGTATTGGTTAAAATTATTATTATTACAATGACTACTTTAAAAAAATAAATAAACATAAAAAAAAAATGAATTCAAATTTTATATTTATGATCAAAATAAAAGTAAAGTAAATGTGATAATAGTATGCTAGCATTGTTGATGTATTAAGGGATAATAATGTAACTCTCATTAATCCACGACTTTAGATTCGTTTCTAAGATCCTGTGCTCGTGGAAATGTCAGCTATTAAATCTGAATTTCAAACACAGAATCTTCGGGACATCATAGTGGATGTACCTATTTTATATTTAATTTCAAATTTCAATTTTAGATTCACTGATCCTGAAATCATAAGTAATTTCGACTGTTTCTCCAATTTAAAAAATATACTTCTCTAGTTTTATCTATAGAATAAAAATAGAAAAAATATTTTAGTCTTATTTATAAGATAAAGAGAGAAACTTTTGATATAAATACATAATTTTACATTTTATTTATTATTGTGTTGATTTTATTTTCATGAGGTATAATATATATTAAATATGGATAAAATTAAAAATTTATTAAATTCTAAATGAGAGTTAATGAAATTTCAGATTTTTCTTTATCTATATGAAACATGTTGAAGGTGACTTATAAATAGAACTAAAGAACTATTGAATACTAGTAATATTACCTAGAAAAATATACTAAATACTTGCACTAATTTGAGTAGATTAAAGAAATTTGTTAAACTAGTTATTTATAATAAATGGGTGTTATATTTTCTAAATTTTTTTTATTAAATATGTGTATTGGTTAAAACTACTATTTGAAGAAATATTTGACATGTATACCTATTATAAAGATTACTATGAATAATACTCCTTGTCTTAAATTTTTGTAAATAGATTAAATTCACTCTAATTAATTCTTGCACATGAATTTAATAATACAAAATTATGTCTAAATCATTTTTAATTTGCATTGCAAATGTTATCTCTATTTTTTAATATAAGACCTGATTAACTAGTATTACGAGTTTAAGAAAACTAAAAAAATTACTTTAAAGTACTTATATTTAATTTTTTCTTAAATTAATTTGCCCAACTTATAAAATGATATATGATATAACTTTACACATGATTATTTTAAAAAGATTATATAACATATGCTATAATTAAGTAATTTTTAATTTTTTTAATCTTCTCTCTCTAAATTATTTAATTAGATCTTATAACCCTTGGTAACACTGAGAAAGAGAACGGTTTGTGAGGAGAGAAGCCGTAGAAGAGGGAAGAGACAAACTGTTGGGACGTTATCGTCATATCGGATGTAAATCAACCAGACCGTTATTAAATACTTGGATTAATCAAATCATATAGATTAAAATCCTAATTAGTTAAAAATAATAATTGTACAATACATGTAATTTTCTTTTCTAAATATACCCATTTTTACGAAGGTTGTATATTCGTATGAGAAAAAAAGAAATGAGAGATAACGAGTGAGAAAAAAAATCTTACATCTAATTCTTAATATAAGATCTAATAAACTAATTTGAAAGATTAGGAAAGTGAATATTATATTAAGGAGGTATTATTAATTAGAAGTGAAAATAAAAAAGTTTATTAAATTTACACATATCACAAAAGCCATTTATAGTAACTAAAATTTTAAATAGTTAAAATTATAAGAACAGAGATCCATGAAGTTAAATAAAAATTACTCCTTCAGTCTATATCCTTAATATAGGAGTTAATTATAAAATTAATGTTAATCATATATATAAGATATATTTCATATATGTATTAATTTTTTTCAAATTAATCCTTTGAATATTTGCCCAATAAAAATCAAATAAGAGAGAAAGAAAGAAAATTAAAGAAGGTGCTCAAAATGTTTTTTAAAAAAATATCATATATTAATTAATTTAATTAATATTTTGATCTATTTAAATTAATTAATTATGTTTATATTAATTACATAAATGAGTAATTTTTTCCTAAAAAAAGGTATGGATAATTCTGCTAAAAATGTACGGATATCTGTGTGATGAAAGCTAAAAAGTAAACAACACAATTTTATAGTCAATTATTATTAATTTTTTTGACCAGCGTTTCATGGTCAAAAGGGCAAACATTGCAGTGTTCTTTTTATTTTATTTTTATTTTAATTCTAAATATAAGACTCTAATTTTTTATATTTATTTTCTGTTTTTTAAATAACTCTTATAATAATAGTAATTTTAATCAATATATTTTGTTGACAAGGATATTTTAAGAAAGATAATATCTATTTATTACAAATAATTAATTTAACTAGTTTTCTTAATCTAGTCAGCTATGTCTTATATTAAGGATACGAGGTAGTATATTCAAAATTTACCGCACGTGTGTATGCTTTTCAGCAAATTTTCGAAATTTTTAAAAGTGCATAGTTAAAACATCAACAGAATATCGGCAGTACCTCTTTTTTTTTTGGGGTCAATGATCCTAAAATGCCATCCCCCTGTCATAATATATTTGGGCCTTTACCAGACCCAGGCCTTTTCTATTTCTGCTGTCTTATGTTTGGGTTGTTGTTTCTCTCATGTTTATACTTGGGTTTCCTTTGTGTTTCTGTTGTTCCTAAATCAGACGATGGGCTTTCAAGTTCCTTGTTAACTTGGCAGGCCCATTATGTTATATGAACTATTGTTGAGCTTAATGAAATTGTCTCTCCAATTGGAATTGAATCTAGTAAAAAATAATAATAATAATAATAATAATTTCTTACAATATAGTGAATCAATATTCGAATTCCTACTGAAAGAGATGTCTATATTTAGTACCGAACAACCAATACTTTATAGCTCTTTCTCTGTCCAAACATTTTATCAAATACTTTGTGCCCTTTTGATAAACAAAATCCCAGAATAAGTTCTATAATAAGCATGTTTTTTCTGAAACAACATACAAGCATGTGAATCAAGTTCAACAAAACTCACAAAGTATCAAGTACAATAACGACAGGCCTTATCAAGATAATTAAGTGAAATGACTAATTGCTAACTCTTTAAAAGCTTTGAAAGGAGAAGAATTAAAGGAAGAAGAAGCAATCATCTCAATTATATGTTTATGGAGACGCTATATCTGACAAGGAAAGTGCAAGTACCTCACCAAACAAGTCCTATACATAAATCTATGCTATTTCTTATTCTATTGCTTCTTAAAAGCAAACCATTACAGCAGCAACCGAATTTGCAATACCTAACGGATGGGAAATTCTCCATGAGCACAAAATTACTATTCCATTGAAAGTAACATTACTGTTAGAGTGTCATTGGGCTTTAGATAAATTCATTTATTCCCCACATTGGTTACATAGAAAGCTCAAAGATGATATACAGTGAAGTCTATGAAACGAACAAGTATTGACATCTTTGTCTGATAACATCTCCATTATGCTGCTTCTCCTGAGTTATTTTCAGCTATTCTAGTTAAGCAAAGCTGTCACAGAGGTCAATTTTTATGGCGTTGCAGCCATATCTATGATGTGGCTAGCTCTTCAATTCACCTTTTCTAATCCTCTACGGGCGTAAAGATCACCAAAGTGAATTCTGCTTCTTTCAATATTTTTCCCCATACACAGCTTGATTTGAACCCAAAACATTATATTCCTCCAGTCCTTAGTATATAGCCTAATTGTTGAGTTGATTTTGATCCTAAATATAAAACATATTTATTATATTTATCAATTTTTCTTAAATTACCCTTATGAATTCTCCCTCAACCATAATTAAGTATAAGAGGGAAAGAGGATATTAAGAAAGATGATTATAGTGTTTTAGGAAAAACACGTCATATTTCTTATAATTAACTAATTTACTTGACTTTTCAATCTAATCAAATTAGTTAAACATATCTTACATTAAGGATCGAAGGAGTATTTAAGATACCCAATCATCTACCAAGTGTGTCAAGCTTTGTTGGTAGGTAATAGGCATCTACTCCTCCGATCCTTAATATAGGACCCAATTATTGAGTTGGTTTTACTCTTAAATATAAAATCCATTTCTCATATTTATCAATTTTTTCTAAATTACCCTTATGGATACTCCTTCAACTATAATCAAGTAGAAGAGGGAGAGAGGGTATTAAGAAAGATAATTATGGTGTTTTAAGAAAAAACGTGTCACATTTCTTATAATCAACTAATTTACCTAACTTTCTTAATCTAATCAAATTAGTTAAATGGGTCTTATATTAAGAACTGAAGGAGTATTATACATTTTGTGCGTCTTCTTATACTTACAACTATATCGTGTACTAAATGTGTCATTGTTAGTAGGGGTGTTCATGAAGCCCAGTTGCCCGTAATGCCCGCCCAAGCCTGCAAAAAAATACCCAGCCCGCCCTTAAAAAAATGGCCCAAAAGAACTATTAGACATGTTCGGGCTGGGCAAATTGTTGGGCAGGGCTGGGCATCGAACACGGTATGCTGCCTTGTCCATTTGGCACAGCCCGCAAAAATATATATA